GCCCCGCCAACCCCCTCGCGCAAGGGCCCCGCGCCCTTCAAGGTGACGCCGGTGCCGGTGGCTGCCAGGCCGGAGCGCTTCCCAGGCACCACTGTGGAGGAGATCCTGGCCAAGATGGACAGCAGGGAGGGTCCGGGCAGCCCAGACAGGGCCTGGCTCTCGCCCTTCTGTCCCGACCCCTCCTCCCGCTTCGGCTCCAAGACCTTCGCCGCCTTCCGGAGGTGTCCCAGCGGGGAGGCGGATGGAGACCCCCCTGGTGAAGCCCCACACACACCCCGACCTGCGGCGGGCGAGCTGGGAATGGGGGATGATGGACACTCCATGGCTGAGACGAGGTGAGGGGCCAGAGACCCGCCCCAGGGGGAGAGTGGCAGTGGGAACACGGGACATTGCTCCGAGCCGTCCTGGGGCGGGAATGTAACGGAGCTGAGGTCTGGTCGCCAGCACAAGGCCTGGGTTCCTCCAGAGCCACAGCGCCTCGAGCTGCCTCCGTGGGAAGGCCAGTGCCAGCCGCAGGACGGGCTGTCCTGGACCAGGAGCTGCCTGCAGCCCTGTGGGTGGGCTCCGAGCCAGCCGTTGGGCAGGGGGTCGCTCCCCGGGGAAACACTCCTGTTTTCCCAGCCTCACTATTTTTTCCCTGCTGGGCCGTGCCAAGGCACAGGGAGCGGGCAGATCAGCGGGACTCCCAGCTCCGGGACGTTCTGGGCCGGAGCCAGGGCTTGGCCATGCTCCCGAGAACTTGGGCACCTCAGGGAGAGCTGGGCGGGGGCTGCTCTGAACCAGAGTGTGAGAAACTCGCTCCCAAAGGACCAAAAACTTTCCGGAAAAGGGGCTGGGAGCGCTTCGCCTCCCTCCCCTGGCAGCCCAAGCCAGGGCCCGGCGTGCAGCCATGGCAGGGCCCGACCCTGGCCCCCTGTGGCCATGGAGGCTGGTTTGGAGCAGGGGTGCCTCAGTGGGTGTGAGGAGAGGGGCCCTGAGGCACCCAGTGGGATTTATCCTCTTTCCCCGTTTCTCTCTGCAGCGGCTCCCCCCCAGCTGGGCCACGCTGTGCTGGGGACCCCCGTGGACACCGGAGGCCACCGTCCCCTCCTGATGTGAGTGCTGGCCTCGCCCTCCGGCGTCGCGGCGGCTCCGCTCCTGGGCTCTCTCCTTCGGGGCTCTCCTGTCTCCTCCGGGGCTCCCTCTCTGCGGGGTGCGTGTCTCTCCTTTCTCCTCGGGGTGCTGGCTGCCCCTTCTGGGGGGTCCAGTGCCCCCTGCGCTGGGCCCCCAGCACGGGGCCCAGGGGTGTGGGGGTGGCGTGTGCCAGCACCGGTGCCAGCCGTGGGCAGGGAGCAGCTGTGAGTCACCAGCCGGGGTTTGGTGACCCGGCAG